AAAAAAATGGGAAATGTGCTGTGTGGGCTAAGATGGCATAATTGAATTAGGGATAATCGGATTTCTCCGTCATGAATTTCACTATAATTTTCCTATAATTTTCCATTAGATATCTAGTTTACAAATATTCACAAAGAAATGAAGCTCTTTCGGAATGGAGATTGCTGGCTAACAGGATTAGGGGGCCGGGCGTGCGGCTGTGCCAGCCCTCTATGGCCATAATGCAATCCCCGCGTCTGTCTTACACTTAGCGTGGCCTCAGCCTCTCATTTCGCCACCCACTTTGCTGTTCCTCACTCCCCTTTGTTTCCTCCTCGTCCCTATTTGTCCCTTGGCCCGGTACCCACCTGTGTTGTGACCCATGCCCTCTCGTGCCCTGTGAAGAGATTTTCCTGTCCCCCTGCCCATGCCATGTGTCTCTCAACTCTGCCTCCACCTCCCCACCACTGGCTCCTGTCCACAGTCTCCCCTCACTTCTGCTCCCCCGACACCCTCCCTCCATCACATGCAAACACACAGCCTCTCTCACAGGTGCAAACACGCTCGTTCACATGCACACACGATCCTTTGGCCAAGGCTTCTGTGCCCTGGCCCAGTCGCCTGAGAGGGAACCAGTTTATTGGGATCCTGGGGTGGGGTGCAGGAACAAAAGGAGCTTTGTTCCAGTTTATGTGAAAGTTACAAATTCAAAATGAGAGCAGATAAAACCTGAGATACCTGGTGTGTAAACAGGCTGGTGAGTGAAAAGGCCCCAAGGGGGGGGAGGGAGACAGAATGAGTGGGCCAACTGGGGTGTGCGGGGAACAGGAGCCAAAGATGGAAGCTGGACAGGGAGAGCTGAGTTGTCCCTGATACTGATGTGGGGTGCCGGAGGGGGGGAGGGGTCGGGTCCCACCCGTGGGTGGGATTGCTTTCCGGTTTCCAGCCTTCTTTTTCTCTTCAGTGGGTGGTGTCTAGGAGGAGCTGGTGGCTCTGTGCCTAGGGCCTGGAGACCAGTAGAAATTGTGCCATTGGGGCTTTCCATCCCTAGAGACCGAGGTGTAAATGTCCTCATTGGCCTGAGCCTCAGGATGGAAGAGGTGTCACTGGTGCAGTGGGAAAAGCAGTTGACCTACAGTAGCTTGCTCTCACCACTTGAGGGTTGTCAAGGCCAAAATGGGCCATGGCCTCAACAGTTGTCTAGGCCTCTCCCCTTCATACAAACATACACACCCAGACAGACACAGCGAGATGGATCTGGGGACCCCTCTATTACAGGACCTCTGATCCACACCCCCACAACCTTGATGCTTCAGCCTCCCTCAACCTTCTCGGATTATAATTCACAAAGGTGGCCTCCTTTTCTGTCTTTTCTGACCTCCTGTCCTTTATGGGAGGCCCCTTGCTCCTGAGCCAAACTAGTAAATTTGTTGCAGTTGACATTGGCCATTCTCTTGACAGGGCAGAGGTTTTCCAGGCAGCCCCACGCCTCCCCCCACCACTGGTGGACACTGGTGGGTTTCTCTAGCTGGCCCTGCCTGCTCTGCCTTCCTCTCTAGCCGTAGGCCGCCAGGGACCTCAAAGTTATGGGAAGCTAATCTAGTTGGTCTTACCTAGGTATTTGGAAAAGAAAACCATTTTCTTTTCCCTTCCTATGCCTTCCTCAGGGATAAGGCCTGTACTCTAACCATCATCAGCAAAAGCCCAGAGAGATATTCACAGCCAACCAACAGGTTGTGCAGGTCACATATGCAGGTAGCTCCCCATACACACAGACTTCTTCAATGCACCCAGAAATCACCGCCTTCTTCCCTGGTCTCTTCAGGTTTCTGTCTACATCCCAGATGCCCAGATGGGAAAGCAGAGGCTCAGGATTGGGAGCTAGGTGTGGAGTTGCCTGTGGTTACAGACCCATAGTCACAAGGGAGCAGAGTCCTTGCTTTGGAGAGTCATGGGCGGGAGCATATACAAGGGTGCGTGTGTAGCCCAGAGCAGCTGTGCTCACAGACAAGCCAGAGATCTCATCTGAGGAGGAGAAGCACATGACCCTCTCAGCCTGGTCACCCTATACCAGCAGTTGAGCATCCAGATCCAGCCTTTGGGGAGCACGTGCCTTGGTTTGTCTAATGGGCTCTCTTCCCTTATTCAGGGCTTTTGTTGTTGTTGTTGTTGTTGTTAGGAGCGGTCGAGTCGGACCCGACTCATAATGACCCCTCCTTAGGTGCTGACCCCTCCTTGGGTTTCCGAGGCAGTATCACTACGGAAGTAGATTGCCCCATCTTCCTTCCAAGGAATGGCTGGTGGGTTTGAACTGCCAGCCTTCTGGTTAGCAGTCAAGTGCCTTAGCCACTATGCTAAAAAGGCTTTTAGGGGAGGCTAAAAATAAAGCTTCTCAGCCTCTGCGGGGACTCTTTGTACATAGGAGTGGGATGGGCCTGAGGGTGGACATCTGTATGGCACCCAGGAAAAGGCAGTAAAATAGGGTAGGATGCTAAACTCCTATGAAGGCCATTTGGAACTAAGGAGCAATCAGAAAAAGAATGAAGAAAAATAAGGGGAAAGTAGGAGAAAGAGTAGATTGTTAACTCTCTGACATCTTTGCCCCAAGGCCTCCCTGGGCCCCTCCCTTTGCAAAATAGAAATATTGCAAAACTAGGCCAGCACCATTTTGCTAAATACTGCCCAAAGACCAGAGAGCACCTGGGCCCTCATCTCATCTGAGGGTTGTGTGACCTCTCCTGAAATAGGAGAGAAAGAGAAGGGAGAGCAGCTAGGAAAAGGGGTGGGGAGCAGTGTGGAGTGTGTGTTTGTGTCTGCCTTTCATTAACACAACTGCCGGACTCCTTGCTCACCTGGCTCCCTCTTTCCTTGAGCCCCTCCAGACCCAGGGTAACTTGGATCACTAAAACTTAAGGCCTCTCAGCATATACGGCTACAGCAGGGACTTCTGAGAGTGTGTGGGAGCCATGGCAGTAAGAGCTACCAAACTGCTTTCTCTGGGGAACAGCAAAGAGAGTACAAAGTGTTTGGTCCAGCCATGAGCTGGGAGAGGCAGGAAATGAGGTCGATGTCTCACAGGTCATAGGGCCTGACCCCGAAAACAGGGGGACAGGTGGCAGAACGCTGGCACACTTGGTTGAGGAGTATCCATGTTTGAGGCGTGTCTGTCGAGGCCCTTCGTGGGACCCCCAGCAAAGGCAGAGGAGAGAGTAAGGAGGGCAAGAAGGAAGCCCAGGTGATGCCACAGTTCTGGGGTGGTGATGCCCGGGGGTGTGAAGGTAGCGGAAAGAGGTCCTTCCATCCCCACCCCAGCGCCCACCAAACCCACCAAGTGGCTGAACCTCGAGGCACCTCAAGGCTGGAGGTGACAAGCCAGGAGATAAGGGCTGGGCGCGGGG